CAAGACACGTTGTTGCTTCTGGCAATCCTTTATGGACTTTCTGCTGACACCAGGACTGAAAAGATGATGTTTTATGGATTTGTTTGTAGAGAAATGGGATATGGGATGAAGTGTAAATGTTTGTAACCTTAGAGGGGGAGAAGAGTTACTAAATTTGTTTATACTTTTTGTGATAAAGGTTGGAAGTCACTTCTTTATGTATTTATTTTCTGTTTATTATATTCTTTTCTCTTTTTTCTTTTTCCCCGCACTTTTTACTTCTTTCTATTCTCTTTTCTTTAAGTTTAGTTTGTATTAGATTTTACTATTATAATCAAAATTCTTAATAAAAATGTGTGTGTGAGTATGTGTGTATGTGTGCGTGTAAATAAAAACTCTGTTTAATAAATCAATATCTTAACATGCATTTCAATAATATGTGTGCGTGTAAATAAAAACTCTGTTTAATAAATCAATATCTTAACATGCATTTCAATAATTGTATTAGATTTTACTATTATAATCAAAATTCTTAATAAAAATGTGTGTGTGAGTATGTGTGTATGTGTGCGTGTAAATAAAAACTCTGTTTAATAAATCAATATCTTAACATGCATTTCAATAATGCTAAATGGCCTTTCCAAGGACTGGTAACATTATTTGATAGCTACGTAAAGCAATGAAAGTCAATAATATACTTGGCACCATTTTTATGCTGCTAATACATCCTAGGATATCTAATCAGCTACGTATGTCTTCATTAGAGCACCGCGGTCCCCCATCAGGAGCAAACTCTGCCAGACAGAGTCCAATTCTACAGCATCGAGCACTCGGACCAGTTCCAGCTGCTTCTGTGTCTACTGACAGGTACAAAGACCTCATTTTTAGACCACAGAATAAACATGGAAATGAAGCTAAAAGTCTAACTTCTTTTTGCAAGGGCAACAAGGAAACAGAACTATTCAATCTTGAGATTTTTTTTTTTAATTCAGAGTAATTTTCTAGTTAGAGTGCAGTAGACATATTCCCTCATGTTGGCAAGAGAAATATTTTTATGATACTTTTTTTACCTGCTGTGCAACTTGTATGTATGTTTGTTTTTTTACAGAGTAGTCTGCATTTATCATATTTTGGCATTCCATGATTAATTTCCTTGTCACGATGTATCTGATGAAGCAAACTGTGCTCTACAAAAACTTTTGCTATAATAAATTTATTAGTCATTAATATGCCACAAGACTGTTTTCATTTCAAGCCTGCGGTAATAGGTAGTGGATCAGAGACTTCAAACTGCAGATTTATTTAAATGAATGTCAAAGGGAAAAAGTCCTCTGGAAGAGGAAAACGAACAAAATAAAACTGATAAAAGATTAAAGAGCTTCTATGAGAAATAATTATATTTATTCTTGGTAAAAATGGACATTATAAATGGATTCTTTGGTAAAAATGGATATTATAAATGAACAGCTTCCTTCTGCCATGTAGCCCTAATAATCTCAGAAAAGGTTACTCTATCAATTAAAGATGTTTCATCCAATCTGATGGTCCATATTAGTGATACAGTTATTGATATAATACTGAATTTCATCAAATGTTCTGCAGTTTTTTTAAGTTGGAAATAATGCATTTATTTTGTACAACTTTCCCTAAATTTATTCATTTTTTTATTGAAATGTTTATGAAATGCAGGTGTGTTTAATATGTCAGTTAAAAAATAAATTCACCATACTTCTGTACAATTTTCACAAATGTTTAACACACATTTTTGAGAGAAAATGATAAGCATTAACAGAATACATACATTACAACTAGTCCAGGATATTACAGATTGTTTTGGTAAACTATGCCATTTCAATCTCAAAGAAAATTTGTGGCACATTTCTTTTATATTCCTAGTATTAATAGTTTCATTCAAAATGTGGTTTGTAGTCTGTTAGGAAATTGACTAATAGGAAATCCATTTAAGAACTTGTGGCACATACTGGCCAGTCCTTTCAATTTTGAAATTTATTCTTTAATGTTATGAAAGTATGAGTTAGTTCAGAGTATTTGAATAGGAAATACAAGAAATGTAATCTGCACAAGAATATCTAGGGCCTGTTAAATTTTGTACGTGGAGAGAATGGTGCTATGGCTTAAGTTTAGAACCTGGCTTAAGTTTAGTAAATTCCTTTAGGAATCCACTTTAATCTTCCTTTAGGGAGAACTCAACAGAAGCCCTTGTAATGATCCATATGCTTCCTTGTACTTCAGGGGTGCTATAGAAGCTGATGGTGGAAAAGAACAATGCAACAGTTACAAGCACTTCTCATTAACAGAAGTTGTTGGATCTCTCGGAGGGAGCACACATTCTCAGGTATGTAAATACATTCTCTAGAGAATAGCTATTAAACTGTTTTTTGTAATATGAGAGTTGAACTCTTCTGTTAATAATACATGCTGCAGATAGGACCCTGTGTTAATCACTTGCACACCAGATAGTCAGTGGAATATTCCAGATATTGTAGGAAGGTTCATTAAATGTCTTTCGCTTTGAGCACCAAAGACTGGCTTCAATACATTATTGTTTAGTCATTCCGATATTTTTTACTTTTCCAGTGCTTCCTGTGGATATCATCTTGCCAGAATTGTCTGTCAGTAACTGCTTCTTTGAGCTCTTATAACTTTATGCTTCTATTATCAGTTATTCTACTAGCCTCCCTGTTTTCTGTCAACCTCTCTTTTGATTGCCTCCAATTTCTCCAAACACTGGGGTCTTCTCCAGTGGCTGTTGCTTTGTAATATGTATCCTAGATATTTAAGCTTTAGCTTTATTATAAGTGATTCCACTGAGCAGTCAGGTTTTACTTCATCTAGTATTGAATGATGTGTTCTTGTCCAAGGTATTCGCAATAATTCAAAGGAATCAATTTTTCTTTGTTCAGCCTTCCTAATAATCTAAGTTTCGCAGCCGTATGTTACAACTGAAAAAATAAGGCCTTGGCAGTATATATCTTTACTGTCAGTCTGATGTCAATGCACTTTAACTATTTTAGCTAAGTTTTTAAGAGTCTTTCTTCCAGGTAGCTGGCATCTCTTTATTTTATAGCTTAAGTCAACTATCCCTTGAATTTCAGAGCCTGTTAAGATGAAGTCTTTTACTACTTATCTGCCTATCTGCATAAAGCTGACATTATTGGCATTTCCTGCTGACATAATCTTGGGAATTTTTTTTAATATTAAGCAGCAGACCAGCCTTTGTACACTCTCCTTTCACTTTCAACAAGAAATTCCTAAAGTCATCTTCACTTCCAGCTGTCAAAATGGCATCATCAGCATACCTGTGATTATTGATGTTTCTTGTAGTAACTTTAATTCCAATTTCTCTTTCTTATAGTGCATGCTTTATTTTGCATATAAGTTAAATAAATGAGTGTGTCTCGTTGGCATGCTTCTTCCCCATTTTTGAACCATTTAGCTCTGTATTCTGTTTTAACTCTTGCTTCTTGATCATAATACAAATTCTTCAGTAGGCAGATGAAGAGGTGTAGACACCATGTGTACTGCCATGCCTTGACTGAATCCAGGTTGGTGATGGGAAAGTACACTTCTATATACTGTACAGTACTGTGCAAAAGTTTTAGGCAGGTATGAAAAAATGATGTAAAATAAGAATGCTTTCAAAAATATATATTGTAATTGTTTATGTTTATCAATTTGCAAAATGCAAAGTGAGTGAACAGAAGAAAAATTCAAATCAATATTTGGTGTGACCACCCTTTACCTTCAAAACAGCATCAATTCTTCTAGGTATACTTTGCAGAGCACCTGCAGGATAAAATCACTCGGATTCATTCCAAGTTGGACTCTGAGCATGGTGCAGGGTCTGGGGAGATACCAGGGGA